ATGTATGTATGTATTTATATATGCTGCCTTTCTCCCCATAGGGGACCCAAGGTGGCTCACAACAGATAAAACAGCAGATTTAAAAATACTGTATAAATACCACATTTTTAAAAAACAAGTAAACATTTACTAAGGTTTTAAAAATCAAGTTTAGAAACAGTCTAAAAACATTTAAAAATATGTAAGTTAAAAACCAGCATACAAGATTTATTCACATACACACAGAGAGACAGTTCTCTAGACATCTGGATGGAAGCAGTGTGTGTGTGTATGTGCGAGCGAGCGAGCGAGCCGGGCACACGTATCTGCCCACATATATCTTGCTTCCCCATAGATGCCATGGGGAACCTTATCCTGCCATGAGGTGTCCTACAGGCAGCAAAGTGAGCTCTCTGCCTCCTCTTAGTTCCATTTCCAGCATAAGCTGATGCACAGAAAGAGCTCTTGTCCTCTCCCTTTGACAAGCAAGCGGAAGAAAAGATGAGTCATCTCCTCCAGTCACCTCTGCCTTCCTGGTCCATTCCAGTTCCCACTGAAAAAACATCACCAAAATGTTACCAGGCAGATGCTGCTAAATAAGTCCCTTTTTTAAACAAGTGATTCTCCAGTCAGTTTTTGCCTTTCCTGAATTGTTAGGATAAATGTTCCTCCCCCACCCCAAGAGTTTTTTGATGCTTCCTCTTCATAGTAGTACCTGAGTTGGCTGTTGTTGTTTTTTCTGCAGCCTGGGGCCACAGTCACTTTTTCTATGCCCTTCCCACCAAAATGAATGGAAGGAGCAGGGGAATTGTGATGTGACGGACAAGTAGTTTGGATTTTCTGACTCAGGCATCACACCCAAATGGGCTAGTCCTCTTCCGTTAGAATGGCATTGTAGTCTCACCCAAGATGACTTCCAGTTGTCCTTTGGATTACGGCCCACGTAAGCCCCTAGTCAACGTGGTTAGTGGCCACGTTATGGCAGAAAGGAGGCCACGCTTTTTTTGCAGCTGTCAGGTGGTAAAATATGGGTGTCAGGCCTGGGAAAGTTACCATTTTTGCTGATTTTCCTTTAGGTGAACAGGAAGGTCGCATGGATCTCAGCCACCCAGTCCATGCAGATAATTGTCTCTTGGATCCAGAGGGAAACACTTGTTGGAAGGAGCCCCCAGCCTACATATACAGGGACTATAGGTGAGACTGAAGGAATTTGTAAAGAGCCACAGTTTGCAAACAATACATTCATGTGTCGTCATCTTTCACCTCATGAAACAACTACAACTAGAGGCCTGCAACTATTTTAAAAGAAGAGTTGTGGAAAGGTAGAGAGAACCATGGTTTCACGGATGCTTATTAATAGACCCTTTGCTCAGATTGATCACCCTGTTCAGGCTCACCTACGGTGAAAGCCTTGCACTCGCATTTTTCTGAAGAGTGTGCCTTGGAACTGCTTACAAAGTGACCCTGCAGCCTTTGTCCCTCTCTCTGAAGTATGTTTGTACACACCGGCCTATTGGCACAAGTTGGCACACCCGGCCTCTCTCCAACAATTACAAACAACATGCCGCCATTTTGCATAGACTCTTTACTGTGGTCCTCCCTCCATTTCCATTCCCAGAGCAAGGAAGCGTTGCTACTTCTCTTTGTGGCCACACAAAGGCACAGAGTGGAAGAGGGAGTTGGTGGCAAGGGGGAGGAAGAGGGCAACAAGTACTGCAAGCAGTTTCGCTCTTCTTTCTTATTTTCCCAATTTTACTGCTTCAAAGAGAGGCAAATCCCACAACTGAGTTTGGCTCCGTCTTTGGCAATGTTTGTCCCTGCTACCACCTGCTGCCTAGATGAGCAAGGAATAGAGTTAAGTTGATGATGAGATGCTATTTGCTTCTCATCCTATCTTGCTGGCACAACAGCAAGTAAACCTAGAAGAACAGACCTGCCAGATATCTGAAGGCTTTGCTCTCCGGATAAGGATTATCAAACCAAACTATTCCTCACTGTATGCTATTTATCTGGGATTGGTCACAGTGACGGGCCTCCCAGTAACATTTCCTGTGACCAATTTGCGTCCTTTTTAAAACACAAAATGAAGGCCTTCTGCCAGGACCTAGATTTTTTCCTCTTTATCAGTAGATCGAGCTGACACATCCTACACATCATCTTGTCGGGTAATTCTAACACAGTTTCAGCCTGTGACATCAGCTGAGGTTGACAGGGTCCTTGACCGCTGCAGGGCCACCACCTCCTCACTAGACCCTTGCCCAGCCTAGCTCTTGAAAGTGGCCAGACCGGTAACAACTGAGTGGGCAGGGGCCATTATTAATGGGTCTGTTCTTGACGGCAAGGTTCCCCTTGTGCTCAAGGAGCTAATTTCTGAAAAAGCCCAAAGTGGCAGTTGACAGCATTAACAACACCGTCCAGTCGCCAGTATCCCCTTTATTGCCAAGCTGGTGGAGAGAGTGGTGGCTGATAAGATTCAGGCTCTCCTGGAGGAAACCGACACCCTTGATTTCTTCCAGTCCAGGTTCAGGCCACATCATGGGATTCAGGCTGTCCTGGAGGAAACTGACGCCCTTGATTTGTTCCAGTCCAGGTTCAGGCCACATCAGGGCACAGAGATGGCTTTGGTCGCCCTGCAAGATGACCTTTTGAGGGAGGCTGATAAGGGCAAAATGTTCTTGTTGGCCCTCCTTGACCTGTCAGCAGCCTTCAATACTGTTGACCATGGTATCCTCCTGGGGAGGCTCTCGGGGTTGGGGATCAGTGGTCAGGCCTTGACTTGGCTCCAGTCCTTCCTGGAGGAGCACCCTTGGAGATACAGCTTGGGGAAATGCTGTCCACTCTGTCAACTCTCAATTGTGGAGTCCCACAGGGGTCAATAATCTCCCCAATACTATTCAACATCTCTGTGAGGCCTCTAGGAGAGGTCATTAGGAGTTTTGGAGCTTCGCCTCACCAATACTGTATGCGGATGACACACAGTTCTATCCCACCATTCTGCAGTGGATGCTGTCCCATCCCTTGAGTGCTGCCTGGATGCGGTGCTGGGTTAGATGAGGGAAAACAGACTAAGGCTGAACCCGGACAAAATGGAAATCTTGCAGGTGGGAGTCCCTAGTGTTCGTGGCCTGGGTGGTTCCCTTTCCTTCAGGGGAGCTAAGCTTTCCATGAAGGGTGAGGTGCACAGCCTGGGCATTCTTTTGGATCCAGCGTGATCAATGAAATCCTAGGTAGCATCTGTGGTCTGATCCGCCAACTTCCACCTAAAGCGGATTGCCCAGCTGCGTCCCTACCTTGACACAGGACCCCTCACCATGCTGGTCCATATGTTGGTAGTCTTGAGATTAGACTACTGCCATGCCCTCTATGTGGGGCTGCTATGGAGATTGCAACGGATCCAGAATGTGATGGTCAGACTACTGAGTGGGGTTAAAAATATCAACATATTTTCCCCACCTTGGCTGCCTTGCACTGGTTACCTGCTCGCTTCAATTTCAAGGTGATGGTATTAATCTATAAGGTCCTAAACGGTTTGGGACCTCGCTATCTAGCTAAGCGCCTCCTTCCTGTTAGGTCTGCCTGACCAGTCATATCATCACAGGCAGGGTGGCTGAAACTCCAAGAGAGGCCCGGAAAATTACCATCAGAAATCGGGCCTTCTCGGTGGTAGCTCTACAACTGTGAAACAGCTTCCTCCCCAAAGTCTGCCTGGCCCCTTCACTGAGCACTTTAAAAAAAACTATTAAAAGACAGGCCTTCGCAGATCAAATAACATCCTGATGCAATAGTGTTTCTGACAACATAATATCTAATCTCCCATCAAGCTTTTAATGTTATTTCATTTTAGGAAATAAAAGGCCTTCAGCCTTCCAGATATTTTGCTCCAAACTTCTATCATTGCCTTCATTTCCCTCTATTTCAAAGTGCAGGTTGAGGGCAGGCCCTATATGAACTTCAGGCCAAGTCTTGTCTCTCACAAGCCAAAATGTCTGTTGAAAGCTCAGAGGAGGGTAATATTGACACAATTTCTACTCAGGGTGCAGCTACTTTGACAAATACTGCAGAAAATGCTCTGGGATTGGATGGTCGATGCACATCATTTTCCATTGCCTACTTGATGTGCAAGTCCATGCAAATCAGCCCCAAGTTTCCCCCCCAGTAATCCGTATTTTTAAAATCTCTGTTGATGGGACTTCAACATTTTTGGAACTGAATGTATTTGCATTGGTTCAGGCAGTGTGATTGCCTAATCCAATGCGGAGGGAGTTGCAGTGGTTGTATTTCTAGCTACTCCAGGCAGCTACAGCGCAGTGAGAGAGGCAGGGCAGGAAAATGGGCTGCCATTTGAATCCTCCTCTGCACACCTACTGCCTGGATCTGATTTCCTTTCCCTTTCTGTCTCTCCCCCCCCCCTTTCGTTTAAGGGCTTCCTGCCCTAGTGTTAGGGTAGCTAGGTGAGCAAAGTGAAAAGAAGAGCAAGGAATCAGCGAAGGGATAAGAGGAATTTATCAGTCAGCCTTGTTTCCCCTTGTTCCTACTGCAGATCTGTATGGCCAGAGCAGAACTACCTTAAGCTGCAAACAAAGATTTGAGTGCCAATTTCCTCCCCTCTCTCTGCTGCCTCCTGTACGGTTGGCTGAAGTGAATTAACTTGGGGAAAACTGACTTCCTAGGTGTGACTTCACAGCAGATGCATTCACATTTTTCTTGCTGTGTAGTCACATCCTCACTTGGGATGACTCCTGCCCCCATTAATTGTACAGTGGTGCCTCGCATAGCGAGGTTAATCCGTTCTGGATTAACCTTTGCTATGTGAAAAACTTCGTTAAACGGAAAGTAAAAAGCCAAATCTGCTGAAAACTCACCATTTAGCGAAGTTTCCTGGGTCCGGCAGCCATTTTCGCACCCTCGGTAAACGAGGGGAGGGCGCGAAAACGCTGCGCGCGGCCATTTCGGGCGTCCAGCGGCCATTTTGGAACCGCCGAACAGCTGATTTTCGGGCGTCGCAAAGCGAAGATCAGTAAGCGAAACGCTTACCGATCTTCGCTATGCGAGTTTCGCCCATTGGGGCTGACGCGATGCCTCCACATTAGCGATCACGGAAAAGGGATCACTATGCGGATTCGTCGCTATACGAGGTGCTCGTTATGCGAGGCACCACTGTATTTAAAGTGTGAACTAGGGTGCCTCACAACGCACAATTGCCCACTCTTCGTATTCAGATATTTTTTTCCTTTCTAAAGAAAAATTATTTTTTCCACCAAAATCACACCCAGACATGTCTTTAGGACTAAGGGAATATGGCTTCCACAGAGCAGACTGCAGAAAACACGAAATAGGTCCCTAGTGGTCTTTTGTCCAGGAGCTAACAAGTTCAAAACTGAGATATAAATTGCCGTGAGGTTTGATGCCTTCTTAGAGAGTTTCCACATCTTCCCCATCTCCAGACTGTAATGTTTAGCAGTGCTCACTCATTGCATGGGTTGAGGGCCCTGGTGTTGCCTGGCATAGCTTGCTCTTGAAAGGAGAAACCCATTCATTTATTGTTATGTTATGTTGACGTTCCCCTGAGCAGATTAGAAGAGGAGGTGCAATGTCATAATCTCCTCTGGGGTGTTTGTTTATCAGCCTGAGGGCAAGAGTGGGAAATGGTCCGCGTCATCTACCATAGTAAACACCATGCTGCTTTAATCTATTTAATGTACAATTTGAGCAGACAAATTGTTGTTGTTTTTATTATTATTTCGATCAAAGATTATTGATTGGTTGATCTTAAATGTGAGCGGCCTGAGACATCTTATAGGTTGGTTGGGTAGAAATGTTTTAAATAAATGAGCTGGCAGCCATGGGCTATTGCTCTCTCGCTAATTGATAGCAAGTAGAAGAACAGCACACTGAGAATAGAAAAAAAGAAATATTTTGTTCCCCTCTTATAACCCTAGAGCTTAGGATCATGAAAGAAACTGATTGGCAGCGGATTCAGGGACAAGCAGAAGAAAAGGCTACTTTGACACTATTCTTAATTTGGGTACTCAGTTTACAACCAAAAGATACGTTATTGGCTACTGCCATTGATGGATCATTCTAGATGTTCCCTTCAGGAGTCAAGGGTAGGAGCGTGCCCTGAGGTGTGAGGTTGCCTCATCCTACAGCAAAGGGCTGTTGTGTTCTTCATGCTTGGACCTCAGCTGCTGTTGCCGTGTAACCTGGTTGGAAGTTTCCCAGAAGAACGCAGCTGGGCCCAATGGGAAGGAAGCAGAACACTTGGGTACACGGGCCTCGCTCCTGATTTACACCGGAAGTGGAGCTGATTAGGCCAGGGGCCCGTTTCAGGGACAACTTGGATATGTCCTAGAGAGCTTCAAGGTAGGTGAGGAACTGTGGAAGCCTAACTGCTCCCTCTTTTTCTGTAGTGCCATCCTTTACCTGAATGATGACTTCCAAGGGGGGAACCTCTTTTTCACCGAGAAGGATGCTGTGACTGTTACAGTGAGTCTGGGTCAAGACATGGGTGTGGCAAAAGGGGGGGGAGAGCAAGTAAAGCAGGTGGGGCTGGGTGGCTGCTGCTCCTAGAGGCTCTGTCTCCAGCAACAAAAGCAATTCAAATTAGGCTGCCCAAGGCAAAATTGTAGCCAAATTTCACCCCAGGACAAATATTAACTCTTCCTTTACTGGCATATCCAGTTCCCTGCTTGTTTCCGCATTCCCTTTTTCCTCCTCCTTTGTCCCTCTCCAGTCCTATAAGGCATTGTTGGTCCAGAGTAGGCAGGCATCTCTTTGTCCCTCCACTGTTTGCAGGGTCGCCATTCTCCTTGGGATTCCGGAGAAGGTAACTACAGTGGTGCCTCGCTAGACAGTTACCCTGCATGACAGTTTTTTCGCTAAACATTGACTTTTTGCGATCACTATAGCGATTCGCAAAACAGTAATTCCTATGGGGGGATTTCGCTGGACAGTGTTTGGTCCCTGCTTCGCAAACCGATTTTCGCCAGACGACGATTTTGACAGCTCCTTCCGCACTCGCAAAACAGGTGTTTTCAGGACCTAAGCTTGGCAAGACAGTGATTTAAACAGCTGATCGGCGATTCGCAAAGCGGCTTTCCTATTGCTAGACAACGACAATTCTTATCCATTGGAATGCATTAAACAGGTTTCAATGCATTCCAATGGGGAAATGCTTTTCGCTAGATGATGATTTCACTAAACAGCAATTTCAGTGGAACAGATTATCATTGTCTAGCGAGGCACCACTGTATAGGGCAGAGAAGGGGAAGAAGGGAGCTGTTGATGTACCATCTTTCTTTTATCTCTCTCTGGCAGGCCCAGGTGCGTCCTAAATGTGGGAGGCTGGTGGCCTTCAGCTCTGGTGGGGAGAACCCCCATGGTGTGTGGGCAGTGACCCAAGGGAGGCGCTGTGCCATTGCCCTTTGGTACACCCTGTCTCCAGAGCACGTGGAACAGGTAACAGAGCAAGGGGACAGGTGTGGAAGGAAGGGAAAGAGGGAGGGAGGAGAGGACCCAAGGATATTGTCTAGAGTTACAATAGCTGGGTAAAATACTGGAGAAAACCTGTATACAAGCAATTCTGGGAGAGGCTTTTGCATAAAGGGGTACTGTGGATTTCTAGAGGAGGAAATGGCTTTTATTGTCTTGGGAACAATTTTGAACTACATTGGGAAACCAGGTGTTTTTTGTATGGGCTTTTAGAAGCAGAAAACCCATTAAAAGCAAAGCGTTGTTTTACAAAACTCACTCCCTTTCTTTCTTCGTAGGAACGGGCCCAAGCAGAAGAGCTGATAAGACAAGCAAAGGAGAAAGAACAGTCAGATCCAGACGGCGAGGAGAATACAGGCGCCGGGCATGGTGGTCGAGACTCACCAGAGCCCCCCTCTCTTAGGGGAAGAGCTAGGTCCACCAGCCGAAGGGCCAAATCAGACTCAGAGTCTGGGGTACGGTCCATGGGACAGCGAGCCAGAGATGAATTCTGAGCAGATTTGAGAGGCTCCAGCCTTGCAGCTCTTGTCAGTAACCCACGCAAATGAATGACATGGGTGTGTTTGTGACTGTGAATCTTTCTACGAGGGACTAATGACATCTGCATGGCTTCACCATGATATCTTGAGAGATGATACAGGAAGGTTGCCTCCAGCTCCTGGACCACAGCCGCCATGTCAGCCCTGAGAATAATTGTTTTTCGTAAGGCTGCCAGACTTATGAACCAGTGTAGTATAATGGCTAAAAGAGACTGTGCTGTAAAGTGGGAATCCCAACGCAAATGTGTCGTGTACACACAAGTCACTACCCTCTCTCAGGCATAGCCCCTCATCTGTGATACTGGGGTAACAAATAGTTTCCTTATAAGGCTATTGTAACGATGATTACGATAATAATGAGAAGTGCTGTGAGCAGTTGGAAGTGCTATGCAAATATTAAACATTTTTCTATCAGCCTTTCTTTTGCTTGCAGAGATGGTTAGCATTTTAATGCAGAATTACTGAGCTTGTGTCTCCCAGAATTGGTGCTTGAGTCAGAAGCAATGTGGTGGATAGATAACTGCATATTCCCTAGCTCCTACTGTTCTTCCACTCCTTTCCAAATGTTCAAAGGAATGTGCACATATGAAAAATGTACCCGGAAAAATGCAAATTTTAGTCAGTGGTAGAAGGCATGAAAAATAGCACATTAAAAATCTGTGTGCACATGTGTGTATTTTGAGAAATGCATATAAATCGGTAAGAATTTATGGGCAAGGAGAAAAAAGGCTTAGAGTCTGATGCAACCCCAGACTAGAACATAGATGGTGTGGGAAATGACAGTGCTTGAAAACATCAAGGCTGGCAGATTCACCGATGAACCAAAAGCAGGCAAAAGACACAAACAATTGATTTGAATGCATGGTCTGAGAACTGTGATGGAAACACATCTGTGTAGAACTAGCCAAGCTAGACTAGGCACATGGAGCTGAAAAATAAGGACCAGATCAAGGCAAGAACCTAAAGTGATCTGTGTCATTATCTAGAGCAGATAGTCTAGAGCTGGTCCTTTTTAGCCCCATGAACTGGCTGGGGAAGGCAGGGCACCACCCCGGTGACCGTGCGCATGCGCAAAGGAGTGTGCACCCTCTCACGCATGTGCTTGTGCACATGCGCAAAGGAGCAGGGGCACTCATGTGGGTGTACACTGTAGGTGCGCAAAGGGCAGAACAGCACTCATGCGGGTGCATGGGCAAATGGGCTGTGCTGGGGAAGTGCATGCGGGGCTGGGGTGGGGAGGTCTGTCTCCGCAGCCCGGTCTGGCTCAGGCCATAGACCAGCACCGGCCCATGGACCAGGGGTTGGGGACCTCTGCTCTAGAGTGAAATGGCAACAAAGAGTGCAACTACATTGATAAATAATGCAAGAAATGCTCCATCATTGGATGGTCTGATGCACATTATTTTCCATTGACTACCTGACATATCAAGTCATGTGAATCAGCCTGGAGCTTTCCCCCTTCTATTCATAATTTTTTCCTCTGCCACTGTGGCTTTACTTTTTTAAAATTCAATGAATCTGCATTGGTTCAGGCAGTGTGATTTCTTGAGCCAACATGGAGGGGTTTGCAGCTCTTCTGTTTGAAGCCATTCCAGCAGGATACAGTAGCAGTGAGAGAGGCTGGGCAATCCTCTCCCCCGTAAACCTGGGTCTGCTTTCCTCTTCCTCTCCTGTTCCATTCTTTCCTTCTTTTGAAGACTTGCTACTTGGGCAGCAGCTAGATAGCCAAAGGGGGGAGGGGGAGTGAGGAGTCAGCAGAGAAAAAGGAAGAAGTTCTCAATCAGCCTTGTTTTTAGTTTTTCAAGGTAGCTCTGCTCTAACTATGCATTCTGCAAATGTGGACGGCCAGAGCAAAGCTACCTTAACAACACGCTGCAAAGAAAGCTGAATGCCAAATAGAGTAGTCCTAAAACGAGCTGGAATTTTTAGCATATATACATTACTGAAACAGCAACGTCTACGTTGGCTTGGGCATGTCGTGAGAATGGCTGATGGTCGGATTCCAAAAGATCTCCTGTATGGAGAATTAGTGCAGGGAAATCGCCCCAGAGGGAGACCACAGCTGTGATACAAGGATATCTGCAAGCGGGATCTGAAGGCCTTAGGAATGGATCTCAACAGATGGGAAACCCTGATATCTGAGGTGCATCATGGCCTCTCCCTACTTGAAGAGACCCTTGTCCAGCAGGCCGATGCATCATGGCCTTTCCCTACTTGAAGATATCCTTGTCCAGCAGGCCAAGGCAAAGAGGCAGTTACGAAAGCAGCAAAATCAGGGAGCTGGATAGGGGACAGATTGGATTGTGTGGAAGGGATTGTCACTCTCGAATTGGCCTCAGCCACACTAGACGCTGTTCCAAGTCCTCCATACAGAGCACGTTACCATAGTCTTTCGAGACTGAAGGATGCCTAATGAATGCCCTCTTTATGCTTACTCCTCTGTGGTCAACTAAAACAAATTAACCCAAGAAATCTGACTTCTCAGGGGACCCATTTGCATTTTTCCCACTGTGTAGTCGCACTCAAGAGTAAAACGATGAGAGAGGTACTAAAGAAGCATTTGTACCAGCTAGTTTTCTTCAGATATATTGCAAGACCATTTCATGGTGTCTGTCCCTCCTTTGAGTAGATCAGTGTTCTGTATCCATGTTGGTTTCAGACATACAGTGTACTAACATCTTTGCTTTTCTGCACATATTAATTTTTTATTTCTTAGGATGCTGAATTCTGCAACAGGTACTAACTCTTCTCTTTTTCTCCAGTTAAAATAGATCTGAAGAAAATATAATTACCTAGTGGCATCTCACATTATGTAAAGTTGAGTTTATTTCCACTGGGCAAATTTTGGCTTTGAAAAAGGTTTTTGTGCAATTTGGTTGTTGCGCAAGTCGTGAGTTTATATAATTGAAGGTGAGTTCTCTTTGGCTAAGTGGGACTCTGGGTCAAACTGGATGTTGAGCAGGAAAGCAGCTTTGAGAGCCTGGCTTGCTACCAGAGAGCTGCAGAGTGGCTCTTGAGGAAAGACAGTGACTTGCCGTGGATAAAGGGGAGTGCTGCCCTCCGTTTCCTTCTGTCCAGCTCAGTTCTCTGTGACACAGCAAATGTGTCTTGAACTGCAGCAAAGGGAGGACTTAGTGGGGGGGGGAGTACAAGGGTTAAAGAGCCCACCCCATTCCTGCCACCTCTGTTGCTGGTAAGTCCTGCTTTCTAAGTGTGGGCGGTCCGGTAGTGATCAATTTATCAGACTCAAGCCCTTACATCCAAACAGGGCAAGGGAACATGGTCCTGATATTTTGGACTACAAATCCCATAATCCCTTATCCATAAGAATTTTCCTTCACTGGTCATCAAGACTTTTAAGTCCTGGCAACAACTGGATAGATTGGAGAGAGGTCATACATATTTATGTATGCATTTGCTTTGATATGGCTGTGTATCAACAGATATTATTTGGGTAGCTTATGTACCAAGAAGCAAAATAAGAGTGTTGAAAATAAATATACACTAATTAAAAACAGAAAACAATAAAAACGTAACACCAAACATGTTTGTAATGGTGGCAGAAGCAGTTGTTGAAAAGAGCTTAGAGATGTGGAAATGTTTTCTTCCCATAGTAACACGTGTGCACAAATACGCACACACACTTTTAGTAGGCAATAGACGAAACCTGTGGATCCCACCTCCTTTTTAAAAAAATCTTTCAGGGAAACTACTACCATTATCCACTCTCTAGGCATAAGGGATTAAATTTATTTTGCTTCTAAAACTGACATAAACACATTGATTCAGTGTGGGACTTGCACAAGTGTTAACAAGTCCGCTTCATCCCAAAGATGTGCTGTAGTTGGGACTAAATTGGATTTACCCCAACTTCTTATCTTTAGGCTCCTTGTATTTGGGGGACGTTATGATGAGTACACATGCACAGCTCTTGTATATACAAAGGCTTTCTTGTTTACTAAGCACACCTAAACATGATGGAATCTCGGTGGAAAAAAGTCATCGCTTGCAATTCAACGTTCTGTTTACCTAGCACATCCTTTCTATGTTTTAATGTTACTAAAAAAGTTTTGGACCGGCCAGTAAAAAATTACTTTGGTGGGGGAAAGCACAGAATATATGTGAGCCCCAGATGCACTTTTGTAACTTTTTTTCTTAGATGAAGTGAAATTGAGAGAAATGTAGGCCTTGAATAACTGCTGCTTCCATGTTCACAAATGCTGCCAGTGGAAAGAGTGTGCACTTGTGTTAAGCCTCATAATTACAGTACATCTCACAACTAGCCCTCCCTGAAAGTGGCAATTATGGGATTTGGCAGCATTGAACAGAAAAGGAGACAAAATTATGCACTTGCTAAGTAAATGTGTGCGCTTTGGGAGGAGAGGAATACAGTTCCTATTGTGAGGCTGTGAAAACCAATTGGTCCAAGTAGATGAGGGTTGCTACAACTTCTGAGAAGCTGCCTCTATAGGTGGGCACAAACTGTCCGTTTGGCGGTTTGTTCTGATTCATTTATCACCCAAATGAGTTTTTGGTGCTTCCAAGCCACTCAGAGGAAGCCACCAGAGAAGGTATGGCAGGGAAGCTGGGCCACTGCCTCTGAGTGGGTTCCCTGCTGGAGGAGGCAGGGCTGGAAACCACCAAACATTCGTTTGGATGCTAAACAAACTGGCATGAACCGCCAAACTTAGCAGTTCATGCCCATCTCTAATCACAACTGAAGAAAGTGGAGAGAGGTGGAAGGTGCCATCTTTGTTGACCTTAGAAGCAAAAAAATGAATTAACAAATAATGGCAGGAGATCGAGGCCTGAAGGAAGGGAGGAGAGATGAGCCGCCCTTCCCGTGGCAAACACAAACTGAGTAAGATTAGGAAGAGGGTTGTGCGTACCTTGGTTTGACATTTAATGAAACCTTCCCCACCAGGAGAGATTCAGGCTTCCATACTCTAGGGATTTATATTGGCTCACACAGGCAAACAGAAGGGAAGACAAGGACTTTGGACTGTTTACAGCTTTCCAGGCAGAGATAAACACAATCCACTGCTCCTGCATGAGGGGATTAGCATTGAGATGGGATTACATTGTAGCCCAGCAGAAGCCAAGAGGGGAGAACACCAAAAAAGCACCAGTAATATAATTCCTGGGAAGGATTCTGCCCTGAGCTTCAGAAGGTGCTTCCAGACTGATCACTTTTGGTGCTACCAAAGTACCGCTCTACCGCTATATGCTACTGCTGGCATTTCAGTTGACCTTTTCCCATGCCTATAAGGCTTTTTTTTAAAAAAAATGTGTACAATCCATTTACTATTGTCCATGCTAGCAGTAGGACTGGCACAGTCGTGTGGGCAGGAAAGAAACCATTTGAAACCATTTTTTTTTTTTAAAAAAGCCTTTTAAAAAAATAACTGGTGCAAAAGTGCATTTTAAAAATCTAACCATATCATGCAATCAGTTCAATGGCTTAAAAATGCGTTTTGAAAGTGTTTTAGGGCAAATTTCAGGAGAAGAGAGAGATCATACCAAACTGTTATATTACTGGGAGAAAATTGTTAGAATGCTTGAAGTGAACTGTATTAATATGATAATGTTATTTTTAAATCACCTGCGGAGTTTACATATGTAGAGGAGAAGAGTACGGCCAGTCCTGCTCTCCCCCCTCAAGCAAATGTAATTGTGTGAATGGATGATGCTCCAGTACTAGTAGGAAAAGTTATTACTTCATTTCTCTGCCATCTTTTTCTTTGCTTAAAAGGAGGCAAAGAGTCCAGACTGAATTGGAGTCGTGCCATTGAGAAGGGAGTAATATTTTCTTGCCATGTCTTTCCTTTGCATCATCATCATCATCATCAGCTTCAGTCAACCAAGGTGTTAACACCTGAGTTTCTCTCTTGACTTTAGAAAGGGCAGGGTTGAAGGCACCAAGGGCAGAGTTTTTGAAGAAAGCTTGGGTGAAAATCCTAGTGGAATTAAAAGATCTCAATTTCCTACCCAGTCAGTGGTTGTGTGGCTACTTGTATGGAGCTAATCCAGTCCTGATAAGTTTGGGAGTGTAGGAAGGCTAAGCAGATGCTCTTTTTGCTACAACGCTGAGGTTTGGTTATCATGGGCTTCTGCTGAAAGCTTGTAGGCGTTTCCCACCATAGTTATTTACTGAGCGTTAACTAAGATGCCCCGTCTCCAGTCTGATCTCCATTACAGCCAAATCTCATTCTCAGCCTTAGCTGTTTATTTGGAGCAATTGCTATAAAAATGCTGTAGGGCTAGTCTAAGGAAACCTCGAGTAATATGTATTCAGCATTTAAGATTCTTGAAATGAAACATATAAACAATACATGGGATTGATACTACCCGTTTGCTTTTATTATTGATTGTAATGTACAGTTCGCCCATGTATCTTGCCCTGAGAGCTTTGGTGACTAGGTGAGTCATAAATTAAAAAGCCCAACAAACAAATTCTAAAGCAGCAGTGGGCAACGTATATGTTTTGGATCCTATCTATACCCCCTTCCTCTTCTAGCAAGCCCTTTTGCACATGCATCTTATCACCACTGACAATTTTTTTCCACCTCTACAGTTAAAGAGCAGAGGCGGAGAGTAAACAAAATCTGTTTCCCTCCCCTTTTTCACCAGTAGGCTGTGCCAGCCAGAGTTGGCCTCATATCCAGATGTGGATGAGACACCCTCTTTTGCAAGGGGAAGGCAAAATGATCAGGCTGATTGTTAAGACTGAGGTACAGATCAGGTGGCGGGCCCTTGCAACCGCGTGGTGGCTACCTCTGGCCCAGAAGTGGCCCAGCTGATTAGATTGATGGCTTCCTGACGTCAGATGCTATCCGTTAAAAGGTATTTATCTCAAGCTTGGGCCAAAGCTGCAGGAGAGATTAAAAGAGATTGAGGCCAAGATAATCCTTCTTCAGCAGCATCCCAGAACACACAGCTGCCAAAAGGCCTTCGATCAAATGCTTTTGCCAGCCCACCACACACCTTCTCCCTCTACTTCCAAAGAGCAGGAGTTCCCTCAAAGAGCATGGCCCTCTTCTTCCCCTTTCCCAAGGCAGGCATCTCAGGCGGGGTTCACCACAGTGCAAAGGGGGTCCCCGTACTAGCCTACCAACCTTTTGGATGCTGTGCTTTGGACCTATTTGCTATACAGTGTGCAGTTTTATGTCGCTTTTCTTATTTTGGATTATCTCTGTTACATTAATGCAATATACAGAAATAAAGTATATCAAACTCTCTGGTGGTGTTTTTTCTTTTCTTTCCGAAAGAGCACCATACTCTCCCTGCTGGTCCCCTCCCAATCCACCTGCTTTGCATTAAGTCCCAATCCGATTTCCCCCAACTCGCTGGTGTCTGATTTAATTTGCCTGATGTTGCTCCTGGAGTTGGCCCTCCCCCAAACCTCCACCCTCCCTCCACAATATCCCAGCTCCCCACAGGGAGATCTATCGTGGGAGAGGACAAGACGCTGAGAGCGAGTGAGAGATATTCTCAAAGAAGCGTGTGGACTGCCGGCTGGTGCTGGAACAAGGACAGCTGAAGCGAGGTAGAGGGGCAGCCAGTGTCTCCTGGCCTGTGGGAGCCGACCTCTCCCCACAGGGAGCCAGGGGGTCCTGAGCAGGAGGGGGCAGCCCACACAGCACGGTAGGTGAGAAAGATCCCCCCCCATTGCGATTCTCTTTTCTCTCCTAATTCTTGGGATCTGGTGCCTGAATCCTCTGCTTTCTTTTTTTCTGATGTGGAAGGAAAATTCCCTCACTGTGTATGGAAAGAGATGTCCTTTTGAAAGGGAAAAAAAAGCCCATTTAAAAGGTTAGTGGATAGGTCATTTCATTAGAACTATTTTTCTCTTCACAAACTACATTTTCCAGCTTCTAGAGAAGGAGAAAATGTGTACCACATTACTGTGAAATGCAAGGTGACTATTTCTGTTTTGACTGATGGATCGGCTTCTCAGCCATCAGTTTGCGCCACACTTCGCAGCATGAGATGTTGCACGCCTTTCCCATACCTTCCGGTTCTCTCTCTCTCATGTAAGGACCAAATATCCCGCAAGAAGGGGGACCTCAGAGGCAGGCAAACCAAGGTCAGCTTTCCTCACTAAAGGGAGGGTTGCAAGGTGAGCCTGATGGGCAACCTACGTTCCCCCCCCAAGAAAAGGTGACCCCAGCAGCTTGAGTAGACACTGTGTTTGGAGAGACACCCCCCCCATCATGTAAGGAACTGGGAGACAGACTTTGGGGGCATCTTGTTTCTGTACCAAAAGTTTTTCTCTTGCTCTGTTTCGGAACGAAGGGCAGTTGAGAGAAGGGCTGCAGGGACAGCGAAGAGGAGATCAGGGTAATTTTATCCCGCCCTTTGATCTCTCTTCTGGCAGGAGGTGGTGGATCAGCTCTCTATCCCTTTTCAAAGGAGCTCAGGGTCAACAGGGCGAGCCAAGCATGGCCCGCTCAGGGATTACATGGAGCCCCAAGACATCTATTAATCCTCCGTCCTTCCGTACCTTTCCCTTTTCTATTTACAGCTCCCTAATGTGGTCCTCTGTTTAGAGGGAATCTTGGGGTGCTGTAACAGGGTGCGAAGACCTGGCCCATCTGCAGTCCCCCTCCCCGATTCTCTTCTCCAGTCCCTTTCGATGCAAGTGTGTGGCAATTTTGGCTGGCTAACATCAAAACGCTCTCCTCAAATAATGAGAGTCCGAGGATGACTTGACAAGAGCTGAACTTAGCATATCCCTTTGAATTTTCATTATTTGGGCCCACATAACACTTGTAGCACGTCCTTTTTTCAGCACAGAGAGAATAACAATTGCAGCCAAGACTTCCTCCTACACAACATTTTTTATTGATATATCTTGCAATGGACATAAACACACTATTGTAAATAACGCCAGGTTATGATTCATTTTCTATGTATCAGGTACACAAGGTTTGGCAAGATAACCAGATAATTAGTCTGTATTTGCTGTTCTTGCAAGCAAGAAGAATGTTTGTTTCTAAAATAACTATTGGTGCAAGCTGTTCATCTTTCAAATTGTAAATCATACCCTGTTAAGTGGGTTGTAACATGCTCCTGGGGTGTTGTATACTGAACCCTAATCCTATTTCTTTAGTTTTTAAAAATTTCACTGGGCCCCACCAGCATGCAACCACTGTAGAAATGACCCTGTAAGAGGCATCTCAGTGGGAGAAAAATCATTGGGTAAGTAAGAAACAAAAACACCCAATTTGAGTAAAGAACTAAAGTGGCAGAATGCTTTGGAAGTAAGGCAGGCACTTGGCTTATTGGATGCAGGAGAATTTAGGATGGATAGATGAAAACCGCTGGCCCAGTTGCCATATGTGTTGATATCAATGGAAATCCTATGAAGTTTGGAAATAAAGCCTGGGGGGGGTGGGGAATTGAAACTATTGCCAAAAAACTGAAAAACAAATCTGTAAGCAACAGAATTTATCTCATGTATTCGTGAAGGCTTTCACGGCTGGGATCTAATGGTTGTTGTGGGTTTTTCGGGCTCTTTGGCCGTGTTCTGAACCATTAGAACTTATCTCAATTAAGCAATGGAGGGTGGGGATCTTGTACAATATAAGACAGATCTGTTTGGGTGGGGTTAGATTTATGAAGGGTCAGACTCCAGACCATGCAAGCCATGTCACACCTGTACTTTATGAAGGGCAGGAGAAGAATTCTGGTGTACCCTGCTTTTCCTGACAACCAGGAAGGAGTCCAGCACAGAAAGATGGCCACTCTTAGCTGGTGTTTGCAGCATTTTGTCTGAGCCATGACCTCAGGAGTCTTTCTGAAAGACTCTGAAGGCAAGTCAGAGAGAACCAAATATGGCTTCCATCTCTGATACAGATGAAGCAATATGGGCTCTAGTACTGTGGCAAAAGACGTAGAACATGGGTGGGCCATCCTGGCCCTATGAATCTTGATTTGGAAAGCATTCCCCATCTTTGTCTAGGCTGTCAAGGGCTGACGGGAACTGAACATGTTCAATAACCTCTAGAGGAATACAATTGCCCCTCAAACCAGCCATGACTGATGGACAAGGTGAAAATGTTCCAAAAGAGGCAGGCACTGTAATCGATTGTATTCACACAAACTTTAACATACAGTTCATAGAAGTTAACAGTGATGTGCTTTGTACCAGTTAAGATTAATTGGACTATTGTTCTATTTACCATAACTTAACTAACATACAGGTCATAGAAGTTAACAGTGATGTTGTGCTTTGTACCAGTTAAGATTAAGTGGACTATTGTTCTATTTACCATAACTTAAACAAAACAAAACAAAACACCGAAGTATGCAGGTAGAATTCACCTTATTATTACTTCTTGTGAGATATGTTGTTTTGGGTAGAATGTTGTTTGTACTGGTTCTGAATTTTGTCTTTTCTACCTGTAAGATGCTTAGAGCCTCTTTTTTTTTTTAAAGAAAGAAAGAAGCCAAGAAATGAAACAATGATATTAATAAGGTTGTAATAAGTAAGTACTGTTGAGTGATATGGGTCTGTTAAGATGGAGGAGCATGCTGTTTGTTTGAAACAGCTGGGGGAAAACGGTCATTAGTTTGCTTATAGCAATTGACAAAAAGAATTTGTTTTTTTCAATTGCTGAGGAAACAACAACCCAGCAAATGGTTTTCCCAGCTTACAGAAGATAGTATGAGATGCCAAAGGAGGGAGCCTGTGGAACTGTGCTTCCTTCTTACTCTGGAGACCCAAGGAGCGCGGCTGTCTAGTAAAGGAGAGCTGGCTCTATCTGACTATTCAGGCTGCATTGTGGTTCATTGACACTCCATGAAAAGCACAAGCTTCGGCTGATCATAGCCTGTCTGTTCAAACGAGATGGAACAAGCAGGGAAATCAAGATGTGGGTTTGGGTTGGGTGGTTGATTAAAGTGGGTTGAATTTGACAGTGCATGATGTTTCGAACCTGTGTTGCAGGCACATGGGTTCAAATTTGTATTCACCCAAGCTGTTCTTTAAGTGACTTTATCCTCACATACCCAAATGGGACTATTATGAAGACAAAATGGGCTAAATCTATGCACGCTTCCTTGGGCTGCACAGATAAAAAGGAGAAGAATGCAAATTCAATAAATAAGTGCATCAGAAATTAACATAAACACAGAGAAGCACAAATTACTCTGGAGTGTTTCCATGCTAAAATGCATACCCTTGTCTAGCATTGCAGGCAAAAAGATGCAGCTAACTGGAAAAATAGCCAAATATGATAGTGCCATAATCATATTTTTATTGGCATCGATTAAAATTGCAAAGAAACGGCGATTTGGTCTTCATATAACTTCCCTCATGGCTGTGGGTGGAACACAGGAGAATAAACTATGTTGCTAGCACAGACCTCAGAGAATCTCCATTGGGAGAAAATATATCAAAAGTATATTTGCCTATTTTCTCACCTCTATTTTCTTCTCCACCTCCACTGCAATACAGAACCTGAGCGCTTCCAAGAATCCTACTTTACTACTTTGTGATTTTTAATTGCTCCTCACAAAAGTAGCCTTAGGGCTTTGCTCCTGTCTGGATTTTGTCCAGTGCTGTGTGTCCTAGGAATCTAACTACTGGTTGTTTCAAGACAACACTTTTATCCTACATTTGTCCTGCCTCATCCATTTGATCGTACATGTATGGGAAACAATGTACTTTCCCATTTCTCTATTTCCCCCTTTTTTTACTATTTTGCTTTCCGTTAATATCTATTAAAAAGGAAACAATAAACTAACTTTAGACCAGTTGTGCTATAGTTGTTCTGTCTGGAAGCACTCATCATACGGTACGAGACTTGTACTCTGAATAGTATTTCACTTGCGTTATAGTCCTGCATGTGTACCTGTGCCCTTTCTATAGGTCTCTGGATCACTCTGGCCTCCTATAAAGCTTTGGGCAATGCCAGATCTACTCTTGGCGGCACTCAAAAACCAAGGTCCTCCCTTTGACAGTGCATGGGTCCACTGGGCTTCTTCTCTCCAGGGGCAGCTGCCATTCCAGGCCAAAATGCACTTCCTGCAATTTATAGTGGGTCTGAGCAGAGCAGAGGCTCCAGGGGAATGTAAAGTTATTCTTATCCCAAACAGTGGCTTCTTGTCCTTCTACAGTTGGGAACAATTCTCAGCCTTCATTTAGATTGTTCCCTTTGAGAGATTTAAAGGTTTCAGTGGAGACCTCAGCCTAAGCTGTTTCAGCTCTCCCTTCTGCTATATTTAGCACTTCCTATCCCTCCTTCTAAGACAGCCTCTGCCCTAGCCTGGAATTCTTTCGCCAGCTTAGTCACCTTCTCCACCTTTCTAGTGCAACCACACGGCGTGTAGGAAGCGCCACCCAATCACATCTCTCCACTATCACCAATGAATATTTAAGCTTAAAAATAGAAAATAATAGAGCAGAAAAGAAAACAGAAAGAAAAAGCTAAGAGACAAAGGGGAAGGGTACAGTACGGAGAATTATGGTTTGGAAATAGAACAAAGAAAATGTAAATAGACGGAGAAACAACAGACAATAAACTAAAGTGGGGGAAAGACTGGGATAGGAAGATAACTTGGAAATAGAACAAAGAAAATGTGAATAGATGGAGAAACAACAGACAATAAATCCAGGTCTATACTTACTGCTGATGTTA